GAAAATCCCTCTATCAGCTGAAGTACTTACAAGTGATAAAATGTTGTCGATAGTCTTTCGAAATATTTTTACTTATGTTTTATTTTCAATGCTTAAATCTTCGTGCAAATTATAGTCAGCAGGAGATCGATCTGAAACACCTGATGTGTCTGACTAAACGCTCATCGAGAGAAAAACTTTCCGTCTCTACCATCACTCAAGACTGCTTATCGCTACCCTCGAGATGAATAACTAAAACGTAAGCAGAACTGCGAACGAGAAAATGATACTTTGAGGGGAAAGAACTTTCTTAGGTTTCAACCTTGGAGACAAGGTAAAGTATGAATGTTTTTTTTTTCTTTTTCATATTATGCTCTCTAACTTTAACTGGTTAATTTGAGAGACTTACCGACACCTCCGACAACCACGAAATGAACTGCGAACATAATGTGATGTAGTAAAGCGAAGGCGAGAGACATGTTGTTGAGATGGTACTTTGCTGTCAAGTTTCCAGTTTAGATTTAAAGAAGAATTGGGAAAACCCGACAGCTTAACGATCCAATGCGAGGCCAGCTTAATACTCCAAAGCGAGGCAACCATATGTCTTGTTAAGACGTTACTATGGAAACCGTCGCTACTGCTAAATACTACAGGTTTACGCCAAACTTGAATGCGCGTTTAATAACTCCCAGATAGACAAATGTAAAGATGGAAGATGTGCAAATGTATAAACGTGTAGACGTGATTCGACTGAAAATTAATAATCAATACAAATATCAAAGTACAAATATGATAACGTCAAGAATAACGACAAGAGTAAAAACAAAGCTACATGAAAAATAAATGAACTTAGAATTTGTGGCATAACCAAGTCCGATAGGAAAAACTCTCCGAAAAAAGTACCACGGCGCTAGCAAAAACCAACGGAACGACCGCCCTAGTTGAGGTCATCTAGCGAATGAAAAATTTAGCAAAAACAACGCTTATACAGGCTACCAACGTTACAAAAAGCTTACGAACTTTATTGAAAGGAAAAAGGTAACCATGTTGTCTCCACTGGACAAATATGATGATAGGTAAACAACGAGCTGTTTCACGGATCGTTTGACGGTTGACCGGGGGAACCACAACCACAATGATTTACATGAACAAGAATGATTGTAGAAGTAATTACAAATTAATTTGCCATGCACAGATTTCGCCAATGATTTTGGTCGCCAATGATACTTTGATCTTCGAATGATACACAAGAAAAGAAATTATATACAGAGGCGAGCTTCGATAAAAGAAAAAAACGTTAAAGAAGCTTGAAAAAATTTACGCTCCCAACATGAAGCTATACAGATGAATTGGTAGTACTAACATCTGAAAGGCACTGGTGCGAATCCCGTCGAAACGTAATTTTCTAAAATAATTTTTAAATTGTTTTTTTATTCATAGCAGTTTGCCTACGGGGATCATTTCTTTACTTCTTTAATTTTTTATTTTGTCTGCCTGTCAACTGAACTAACCTGTTTTTATGACTTAAAAAGCAGCTTTATTTGCACAACCGCAAACAGTGCTTTTCACATTTTTCATTTTTGCTTTTATTTTTTTTCCTTATTATTACTTGGGTCTTTTTCTCTATTGAAGAGTG